GAACCAAAATCTATATATATATATATATATATATATATATATATATATATAGGGAAGAGATCATATGAGAACACCATCTAATGAGAGAAATGAGAACTGATTAGGGCCATTGGATTGAACAGTTATTTCTTCTAATTTGATTATTCGTATAAGGGTAACTCAGTCATTCTACTTGACCTTCCTTCCAAATCAGAACCTTGTGCGATCGTTTGGAATCTCTACTCTGAGACTTTCCTCTCTTTGTCGCTCTCCACCGAGTCTTTCTTCTCTCAGCCGCCCTCCATCGACATTAGCTTCAGAATTTTACATCGAAATCAGAATTGTTTGCGATCGTGGTATCTCTCCTCTAAGTCTTTCTTCTCTTTATCGCCCTGAATCATCTTTGGATTTTTAACACAAGCTCCTCATCAAAGAACAATTTTGATTTCTCAGATGACTTCTTATATAGATCTGGGTGAGATCTATATAAGGCAGAGGATATATATATATATATATATATATATATATATATATATATATATATATATATATATATATATTGGATGAGGATCCTCTGCCATAAGGCAGAGTGCCTTGCGTCAAGGAGGCGACGAGGACGCTCTCGAGATCGGCGAAGGAGTGGAGCCCAACATCTTCGACCGTCCAATTCCAGATCGGACGACCCAGAAGAGCCAGGCCCCCTGCCTTGCTTTAAAGCAAGGCAGAGGCTCCGGATCCATATATATTTAAGGTAATCAAATTTAGCTAGAATTACCAACAAGGCCTCTTTAATAAGCTACACGTGGTTTAACATTTACATGGAAGATATATAACGTGATTAAGTCTAGGATTACAATCTTGCATCAACAATGTGAAACCGTTAGAAACATAAAAGTAACGTATGAGATGCATTCTTATTTCTCTCTTGAGATTTCATTCTCACTTTGCCTTATTCAACAATTTCATGTCTGGAAAATAAAATCTTGCACGGTTTAGCTTCAATCTCGAAGTTTTTGCCACCACACTGGATAAGCATTTTATCAAGATTATGTTTGGGAGGCAAAAGTCTCTGCCTTCTAGTTTTTCTACTGTTTAAAAAGTCTCTAAAAGTTTCTAGTTGTATGTTTGACATGACAATATTTAAGAGCTAGCTTTTCAAAAAATAAAAGATTTTTTTAGATGCTACAGGGAGTAGAATCAGAGAAAATTTGTGACTTTTAGCATTAATTAATCCAAACACCTTGTATATCAAACAAAACTAAATCAAACAGTCAGCTTTTTACCAAAGAGCTACCACATTTTCTTTTTAAGATCTTTTCAGTCACAAAAAGCTAACAGTTATAAAAAAGCCCACAAAAGTATCTTTTTAGCTAGTTGTGCCAAACATACCCCAAACCACATTGGAATAGTAAAATCTTGGGTTTCATTTTCATATCTTTTTACAGACTTCTTTCTAGTAAGAATTGGAGAGATCAGAGAGAGCGAGTAGGATATATATATAAAGGGGGTGTTTGGATCTAATTTTTAAAATTGTTTTTACTCTTTTAGTGAGCAGGAACAATTTTTTAGAAGTTGGGGGGAGACTAGTTTCTAAAAACCACACCTAATTACCTATTAGGATATTATCCCATCCATCGCTTGCATTATTGTATCTGACCACATCGCAGTAGCGGACTTGGAATTCTCATTTTGGATGTTTAAACGCTTTTATAATTAAAATTTAATGAACACTAAATAATTATTAAATTTATTGGTGTATATTTTGACATTTTTAGAAGCTTTGAGTGTTCAAGTGAACACTTTGGATCAATAGTAGCTCCGCCCCTACTGCATGGTCGGGTCAATTAGATTCTTGCTTTCACTACACTTAATTGTAGATCTCTAGAGTGTAAATTGTTCATCTGTCTTTAATTTGTCTAATACCTAATGCTATTAAAGAATTTAACTTCAAATACATCGATGCTCATGCTATTAAAGGATTTTTGAAATTGTTTTATTTAATTTTTTTTTTAAGAATTCTGTGTAAATTTCCACAGAATTTTTTAATTTGGGATTATCGAGACTTAGATTGACTCCTTCTAGCTACGCCCCTGCTGATGAAGCCTACAAGACATAATTCATAATTCAAAACGATTAAAGTCTATTATCAATCATTTAACTATTAAGTACCTCAACTTCCGAAATGTTCAAATCATTTTTAATTGGTTGACATTTCTTTTTCTTTTTCTTTTTCTTTTCCTTTTGCTTTTCCATTCTCCCGGTTTTGAAGCAATTGACACTTTCTGTCTTTCCCCATTCATTTTGAAAATAGTATGTTTCGTAGAGAAATGCAAAGAGCACGCAAATGCTCGTGTACTCTTTTAATTTACTCAATGCTCTGTGCGTTAGCTTATGCTCATTCTGTTAATTTTGTTTAGTTCAATGTCTTTGATTATTGTGCTTGTTTTTTTAATGTGCTCACAGTTCTATATACTAGTACGTATAATATTTGTTTTTTTATTAAAAACTAACATTTTTTGAATTGGAATGAGTTTCAACCTTATGATCTCGTTTTCTAGGAGTGTCATACAATCAAATCACAAAGCGTTTGACGAGTTTCTGCATGTTGGATTGATACACAATTTTGATCATCAATATATTTAATGTTACGTATATAACGAATAAGAATTAAAAAACATACTTTGTGTTTAATTTCACAATTAGACATATTAATCGTATTCTTGATACTGTAGTTTTTAATGACTCCAATATTATTAAGGTAGATTCTATGGTACTCATAAGGTACCATACCTTTGTTCACATGGACCAATTAGAATGTTACAGTTGAATTATTTAAATCTAAATTAAAAATGATAAAGTGATGTGGTCCAATCAAATGAATAGTAGGTACGGTACCCCATTTTTTAAAAGGGTACCGGAGTTGTCACCTATTATTAATAGGCTTTTAGGTTTTGTGCGGTAGTTGTGTTGATCTTGTTGCTGTGGTTTTGATCTTCCGTGAAGTGTGCGGTACTTTAGTCTGGTGGCTATTGTGTTTTTGGGGTTTGTTGATGTGAGTGAGTGGCTTAATTCCTTTGGAGGTGGCTGAACAAACCTCTTCTAACTTCCCAATGGATGGTCAAGTCGGAATGTTGTCTTTGGAGGTGGTGGATAAAACCTCTTCTCCCTTGCTGGTGGCTGGTGAAACCAGATAGTCTATTGATTATGAGGTCGATCGCCCCCCTCCTGAACCACCGCCGATGAAGGAAGAAGATGAGAGTGAATGGATTACTTTCTTTCTGGTGGCCGGTTAAACTGGAACAATTTCTGCACTTTTCTCCTTACCGGTGGCTGGAAGAACCGGCAAGTCTAACAAATCCTTTTCGGTGGCTGGTCAAACTGGACCTATTTCGAGTAGCACGAGCAGTCAAATTGCGGGACGAGTCTACATAGTTGCAGAGTTAGCGAACATAATAGCTTTTATTTGTTTTTTTTTGTTTTTTTTTGTCTCACCCTAATGTAGCATTGAACGTTGTGATTGTAATGTTTCGGCTTTTGATTGTTATGTTTCTAGTTACCCTTATCAATAATAATTAAGTTATTTGATTTAAAAAAAAAACAATAAATGCACTATTAAATAAAAGGAATAAATAAATGATTAGTCCTTTTTTGGAAGATTTTAAAACAAGTCATATTTTTGTCTTTTCTATATATTTTAGTAATGTTGATAAAAAAGGCCTGCATTAAATAGGAAGTATATGATTAGTAAAAAAAATTAAAGAAACGTAATAATTAACGAATGGAAATACTCGTATACATCTTAATTAATAAAAGTTCCCCACAATTTTTCATTAATACTTATACAGTGGGATGAGTGTTAATTAAATGAGCATGTATCCATTAGTAGTTTAGTACCACCTATCACATACATCTTTCTCCAGTTTATTTTCTTTTACTTTTGCATTATATTCACATACTTTCTCCAGTTAATTTTCTTTTACTTTTGCATTATATTCACTTTTTAACTCAATTTTTAAACCTTTTCCAAATATTATCTCATTAATAATGTCCCATTTCTAATTTTTTAGAGTTGTACAAATAAATTGGTATTCTTTGATGCGCTGGTATAGTTCTTTAACAACAAAACGCGGACTAGTAATTCTCTCTTTTCCAGGAAGAGGAACCTTAGTGATCGTCTCCTCTCTTTATAGAGTTATAGATTTTTTGCCGCCCCTATCAATATCAATATGAGTTTGGAGCGTCAGATTATACTGAATTTAATTTATGTATTCTAATGCTTGGGATTGTAACTACGTTGGAGGACATATCGTTGGCGGATGAACAAGGTGCGGCTAGGAGATTTTATTGAGGCTGGATCGTGAAGCCTTGGTCAGCCATTCTAACGGTGGTTGAGTTGGTATTCACCCATATTGCAAGAGCTCGTCCTCCTCCGGAACCACCTCCATACCAGGAAGAGCTTTGTAGAAAGATTTTATTTCAGTATTATTTTCTCTCTAGTTGGAATTGCTTCTGTTTTAGTTTGAGTAGATTTGATTTGAATGTTTGGATTTATGGAGTTCTTTTGTGGACAAAGTTCCGGTTCCGATCGTTTTAGACCTAAATTTGTCCGTTTCAGGTTTAGCGAGTCATGTTGCTTTGTATGAGGTGGCTGACTCTAAGTCTACTCATTGGGTTCACGATTGGATCTGTAAATTGTAGTGACTCGTACACAGTGACCAGTCATATTTTTGTCTGGAAAACTCAATTTTTTTTGGAACTCTATTAGTAATATACAATTATACATGCCATTTTTTCATATTGAATCATCTCTTACCATATAGATAGTACTCCGTCTAAAAATACAAACCAACATTATCAGACTAACCTTTTAGATTTAATTAACTCACCATGTGACATGATACTCCTAAGATCAAAGACTCCATTTTAAAAGATTAACTTGATAGGAAGAGTGACATAAAGTCTTATATTGCATTTAGTTTTTTATAACTTTTTGGTGAGAGACATATACTTCAATAGATACACAGGAAGTTAGCACTATAAATAGGAAGTTAAGACACAATGCACCGAACCAGGCAATTTAAGCAACTTTATATTGATCAAACTAAGCTGAAATAAAGACAGGTAACCGGAGATCAGAACAAGATGGGTGAACAAGTGCAACCAAAAGGAAAGGTGATAAGCATTCTGGCCATAGATGGGGGCGGCGTCAGGGGAATTATTCCAGGCACTGTTCTTGCTTTTCTTGAAGCTCAACTCCAGGTACCTCCTAGCTAGCTCTGTCTTTTTCTTCCTACCTAGCTACATATACATATATGCACAACTTCCTTGTCATTGGACTTTGTCTAAAAACTTTTGTCACTTTTCAATTAGTACAACTAATTGAATTTGTGATTGCGGTCATTTCTCGAACTATCTCCTTTGCACAAACCTCAATCACACATCTTTAATTACTTTTCTTATTTCTGGTCTAGTCCGAAGTTGGCAAAGTCCACGGAAACGGAAGTAATTGTGATGAATGAATAGAACTAGTTAACTACTGAAAAATTTATCATATGTATGACTAAAAGAGGATGTTTCTCCTGATGTATGACTAGATGAAGTTTTATCCCTATTTTATTACCCACACATGATCATCCATAAGTCTTTTAATGTTAAATTAAAACTGAAACGAGGCGCATGCATACATATATCTGATCCATTAGAAGTCATATAATCATCGTATATGTAGTTTTCTAGTATGAGAAACTACACATGTTTTAGTAATATTCCCATATTTTTTCCTTGACTAATTAATGACATGATAAACAGAAGATTGAAGGCAACCCAAATGCAAGGATAGCAGACTACTTTGATGTGATAGCAGGAACTAGCACTGGGGGGCTTGTGACTGCAATGCTGACTACTCCTGGAGATAATGGCCTCCCTCTGTTTGCTGCTGCTGATATTCCCAGATTTTATTTGAACGAGTCCCCCAATATCTTCAAGAAAACATCATCGGAAACAAGAACTGCAGCAGCCAGCAGTTCTTTACTCACCACAAACGTTGCGGAATTTGGTGCTGTTGTGAAACCCCCCAACTTTGAGTTGCCTCAGTTTTCGGAAAAAGATATCCCTGATTTTTACAAGCATCCCCAACTCCCAACAGGGCCGCTTCAAGCTTCCATTGCCAATGCCAATATAAGTAATTTGACGTAAGCATACAAATTACTTTAAAACGTGAATGTCATATTTTAAAATTTAAAAACGTTTTTATTCATGTTCAAGACAACTTCTATAGGAGTAAATGAGCTTAATTATGAGATGAGTCTTATGACGATAATGATACTACTCTCTGTCTCTCTATCTTCAATACATATATGCAATGTGCAGGTCATTTGCGCTTCCTAATATTTGGGATTGGTTCAAGAAACTAGGCTCTAACGTGTGGTATGTCATCGAGTTCATTCAAAGGATGGGTTTCCGCCCTATGTACGATGGTGTTTACTTGCATGCCATGATCAAAGACATGGTTAGAGATATCAAGCTTAACCAAACACTCACTAATGTCGTTATCCCGACTTATGACGTTCACCACTTGAAACCTGTCATCTTCTCCTCTTTCCAGGTCATCATTGTTCGTATTCATTATTGAAAATAGTATCTAGCTATTTCCTTCACTTAGATTCTCTATGTCTCATTTTGTAAGATTATTACACTTGACTTCTTATGTTGTTCCAAAATTTTGAATTCTCTCAATTCCTAGATTGAACAACACTAAATTTTTACTTTCTCGATCATTATTTTATACTTTATTAATCATTTCACTATTTACTTTTTGTAGACTCGTGCATAATCTTCTTCTTACTACTCTATATTGGAAAGTGAGGATCCTAACACAACCACTTTTTCACCTATTGTTTTCTTAGATTAAATACTTAATTTGCATCAAATACATTGATGTATCCTACTCTATTTACATGTTCCATAACAACTGGTAAATATACTAATGCATACTCCGTATTAAATTGGATGTAGGCAAAGAAGGAGGCGTCAAAGAACCCAAAACTCGCACATGTTTGTATTGCCACATCCGCAGCTAGGCCTGTCAATGGGTCGGGTCTAGACCCGGACCCGACCCGGACCCGGTTGTTTTTAACGGGTATGGGTCCTTATTTTATTCCGTTTACCCGGACCCGGACCCGGACCCGTTAGTACTTTTAATAAACGGGTCGGGTATGGTACTTATGATTCCGACCCGTTAAGGACCCGGACCCGATTAAAATTTCTTATTAGTATTTATACACACACTAATACATAAAGAGATTAGTTATAATACTTCAAATAAAAATACAAACTAATATATATAAAGTGATTAGTTTTAATTCTTTGATTAAAAAGAAACAAATTAATACATACCTAATGTATAAGTGATAATATAATAGTATGTAGTATATAATATGCTTTTAGTCCAAAAGAACTTTTTGTGACCTAATTTCTAGTCTAATATACGAGCTTTCTGTGGGAGAGAAAGAGACACAAAGTGCGGAATTGTACGCATCTACAAGAACCGATATTTTATTCAATAAAAGTACTAATTTTCTATGATAAACCTTGATTTTTTTTGAAAAGTGAAGATATATTTTTCTTTTAAATTTGTGCACTTTGATTTACATTTCATATACATGTTTTACTATTTTTAAAAAATTATATAATGTTCTGTCAAAAAAAAGTTATATAATGTTGTGCATATGATACTTGGCGGGTCTACCCGACCCGGTTCCGAGACCCGTTGGGTCCGGGTCCGGGTCCAAATTTTTAGACCCGCCGGGGTAAACGGGTCGGGTCCGGGTCCTTTATTTACTTAGCGGGTCCGGGTCTGGAACACTACGTTCCGACCCGGACCCGACCCATTGACAGGTCTATCCGCAGCACCAGTTTACTTCCCTCCTCATAGCTTTGAGCTCCAATCATCTCAAGGGATTGAGAAGTTCAACCTCGTCGATGGCGGAGTTGCCGCTAACAATCCTGTACGTAATAATGATGGACCATTATATTTATTCAGAGTGCATGAATTACTCCCTCCATCTCGTTAATCGGATTGTCCATTTTTTGAAATTATACTCAGATTGTCTCGTATCGAATTTGATAAACTTTTGGTGGTTCTAAATCAGTTTTACTTTATTTTTACTTCATTAATTCAATATCAATCACATAAACTCACTTTTCATGTCATGACCTCATGTCTGAATGTTAGTGGTACAAAGATAATATTATTTATATTATTATCATATTTATAAATGGAATACTTCCCTTGAATGATTGATCAGGTGCTGGTGGCTATCTGGGAAGCAGCAAGAGCGTATAAAGTTGCCCCGTTGCCAGAGAATTTCAGGATCCTTTCACTGGGGACAGGGTCATGTACAGGCACTCAAATGGCTGAAGTCGGCGACGCCACTAGTTGGGGCGTGGTTAGGTGGTTGTTGTTTCCGGATAACACTCCTCGTATCACCGATGTTTTCATGAGCGGCAATGATAATATGGTGGACGCTTACACCTCTCTGCTGTTTGGCGGCGGAACCGCTTCCGCCGGCCCCGAAAACTTCCTTAGAATCCAATACCAAGGGATGAAGTACGATGAATGTCTGGTGGATGACTCTAGCAAAGCCTATCTACAAAAGTTGGAACAGTTTGCTAATGATCTGCTCAAGGATCCTGTTTCTGGTCCGACCACTTCCAACCCTCTTGAGCTCACAAATGAAGAGGCTCTCATTTCGTAAGTACCACATGAGTTTGAGTGACTATTAATACTTTTTTTATGCACTACTAGTACAATTAAAAAAACACCTTTTGAAATTTCACCTTTGAAATAAATGTATGAATCTTAATTGTAAATACAATTTTATGGAGTAGTACATTAATAAAAATAAGGAACTCAAAGTAGAGTGTGAACAGTTTAAAATTCAAAGTGTTGTGATTATTACTTCCACTAAGATTATCTCATACGTAGTACTCCGTATCAAATTTGGTAAATTTTGTATAGTTCAAAATATTCTTACTTTATCAATTAAATATTAATCACACATACCCTCTTTTTTTAATAACCATACCACATTCTCATGTCTCAATCTTAGTGAGACGGAGATAGTAACAAATAGAGAAAGTATAAATTGTCTCTATTGTGTGTGTATCTAATTTAATTAAAGAACTCCACATATTTAGACATGCAATTATTGACACTTGATTCTTTTTTGAATCAATTAATCATCATTAGATGTTATGTAGTGCTAAACATTTATATGGAGTAATATTACAATAAGTGAAGTTTGGTAAAGCAATTTAGTTCAACTTCAATTAATCATCATTAGAAGTTTAACTATTTATGTTGATCTCGTCAAACAACCTTGCATTGTTTGCTTTACATGTTGCAGGTTTGCTCGTAATTTGGTGAGAGACAAGTTCCACCCATAAATGTGATGAGTGTCTGATGATGTACGGACAGTGTGGTACAAATAAAGGGCCTGGTGCAGTCTCGATTCAAATAATATGCTTGCTTTTGTGTGTCATTTTCAGTCATAATTTGTAACGTCGTGTAATGACAAATAAAGCCAATATTTCGATTTGAGGTACCTCTTTCGGGTAGGATCGATCATAAATTAAAATAAAGCAGTCCAGCATGTTGAGCTAGGATGCTCATCTACAACCTGCACGATGTATTGGATATATATGTATAATGTATGTGTGTCTTCACTCTCACCTTTAATAAAATCTTAATTTCAAATACGAGAGTATCAAATAGTTGGGTTACTACATCCCACATTCTCACTTTTTGTTGGACTCCTTGAATTTGATATAAAATCTTGTTTTGATCTGAAACAAATTTTATAAAGTGATCAAAAAGTTATAAATTATGGTTGGAGTTGGAGTATAATAAAACCGAATGAACCTTCCTAAGGAATACAACCTCCACTAACCTCATTTTTTACCGTTAGAGCACTTATATGGAGGCAACCGTTTTTTTCTGGTAAAAATATGGAAGTATCCTTTAAATGAGATACAATAAAATTGTCATTCTAAAAAGAGTTATTTACTCCTATTGAAGTATTGGGCCGCAATACCTGGGCCAGCCCAACACGCCTCTTATTCGACTTTCGCCGAGCAAGCTACCAACATATCCAAGGGCCATTCCCGAGCGCCAACCCTTGAATTGGTCGGGCGATATCGTGATAATGGCCGAACCAAAGGGTTACAAGCCAATCACCAGGTATTAGTGAAGAAGGCGAACATACTCAAACTTGTTATGCGAAAGCCATGAATTGAACATACTCGAACATACTCTAGTATATCTGTATATCTCAGCTCGTCCGACCCAATGATAGGTCGCACGACCCAAAGTCAGAGTGAGCGACCCAAAACTTGCACGAATGAAGTCAAGGACAGATTTGCCCGCACCTATACAATATATAGAGAAATGTTCTTAAATAGGACCATAACTTTAGCTATATACCCGTGTAGGACCACCCACTTTTTTAAACCTAAATAGGCAGTTCGTATACCATACGACCGGCCCACTATGAGCATAGTATACCCGCCACCAATACGACGTAGTTCTAGCAGTTGGCCTCATTATTTTTTATTTCTCTCTTTTTTTAAAATGGTAATAACTTTTTTATTTTTGATCCGATTTTTATAAAATTTATATCAACATTTTTTATTTTTCATGATCTTTCAAATGAGACCAATATTGCGTATGTAATTTTAACATATTAACATTTGCATGTACAAATATGTAACTTTACGTGTTAAAATATGTAACTCATGTTCAGTCAGGCCAAATGCAACTCGTGTATAAAAATATGTAACTCTACGTGTATAAATATGTAACTTTACGTGTAAATATATATAACTCGCGTTCAGGCAGGTCAAATGCAACTCGTGTGTATATATATGTAACTTGCTTATAAAAAGATGTAACTCGCTCATAAAAAGATGTAACACAATTATCAAATGTAACTGAGGCCATTGATCCACTCCCAAACAGATTCGATCTTCTATTTCACAAACTTATCATCTCCCTGCAATTCATATGCAACTCATGTGTATATATATGTAACTTGCATGTAGAAATATGTAACTGTACGTGTAAAAATATGTAACTTCACGTATAAAAATATGTAACTCACATGTATAAATACATAATACAATAAATTTTTTATATACACAATTTTAAGATAAATTGTGATTTGTACAATTATTTTTCTATATTAAATTTAGTTCGATTTTCTTTATAATCCAATACTCATTAATATAATACTTCGATAATTTCTTAAAATTTCATAAGCAATATTGGTCTCATTTGAAAGATCATGAAAAATAAAAAATATTGTTATAAATTTTATAAAAATCGGAGCAAAAATAAAAAAGTTATTATCATTGTTTAACAACAAAAGCAAAAAAAGAAAAAAAGAAATCAGGCACTCCGTCATTTTGAATGAAGCGTGCGTCGCTTTGCAACCGGGCCACCATCCTCATGGTGCGCCGGTTGCACGGTATAAATTGTGCTAAATAGGACTTGATTTTTACTAAATACCAAGTTTACCCCCAAATTAATTGAAGGGGACTCTTCGTCGCTGCTCTTCTTTTTCTTCGCATGTTTGCCGTCCGCTCCATTTAGCTTCGACAAGAACGCCGGCCAACCATCTCACCTTTGGACTTCGTCAATTCCTCTCTTGGTGATATAAAGACCAGGGCATCACCGCATGGGAATATGTGATTCATCTCAAAATCTTTAGTAATCTCCTGGGAGTAGAACTTTCTATTCATTCTAGATTTAGCCTTGTTTCATTTTGACTTTAGAGGATTGTTATGCTTTAATTTCTAATTGTACGATCTTCTTCGCTTTTAAATTGCTCGCTCTTCCTTTGTCGATTCGAAACTTCACCAGACGCCGCCATTGGAATTTGCAAGTGATGAAGGATTGAAGATCGCCAGAGATGGAGGCCGCCGCTGCAAGCGGTGAAGGTCGCCGGAAATGCTTATTGCAGTGAAGTACTATGAAATTAGTAAACAATGGCCAATTCGAACATACAATATCAGCAAGATTTAATTCCTAATGAAATCAGTAAAAGTTGCTTCCTGCAAAGAGTGGCTTTCACAGATTCAATCTCGCCTCTCCTTTCTCATTTTTAATTCTTTTGATTTAATTTTTAAAGTAATTGATTTTGAATTTGATGCCTATGAGGTTTTCTGCTATCAAAGAGTATAGGCTTTCACCACTATTTCCTACATCTTCGTACGTAATAATATTTACAATATTTTAATGAAATTTATTTTGCTAATTTTTGTAACTTATTTTAATTATTGTGGCACTGGAATGTTGTTATAGTCATATAATGTCACAATATATATATTAAGTTTCACAATGTCATAAGAGTAACGACAATGTTAATTATAATATATCAATGTCATCAACAAAAACAACATCACAATGTCAATATTGCAATGTCATATGAGAGTGTCACAATGCTATTACACAATGTCACAATATCACAATGTCATTAACGAAAGTGATGTTGACATTGTCATTAATACAATGTCATTTTTTATAACATTGACATTACTACAATGTTATTTTGTAACATTGACATTGTCATTTTCTTGTGATAATTATCTAACATTTTGATAGTTCCTATACATTTAAATTTTTTACAATGATATGACATTGACAAATATATCTCAATGTCATCATCGAAAACAATAACACTTCTTAACAATGTCATCACAATGACTTTTTTATAGCATTGAAATTGACATGTCATTATCAGAGTGTCATTTTTAAATCATTGACATTGTCATTTTTACAATATTACTTTGACATTGTGAAATTCTTCTTTGTATTTTGACAATTTTTATAATACGTAGTATTCTTGGGTCTGTTTCCCATCCTGTTGTGTGTCAAATCTGTTTTTCTGCAGGTCATTCAGCCATCAGCTGTCCCTCTCACTTTTCTCAGCCATCAACTCCGGCTTTTTATGATACCTTGATTCGGGAGCTTCAACTCACATGATTGCATCTGAAGGTATTTTATTTAATAAATTTGTCTACAATGGTTATAATACAGTTAGTCTTGTTAATGGTGTCCATTTACCCATTTGTCATGTTGGTGATGTTGCATTACCTTCTGCTGGTCATCCTCTCACTTTGAAATCAACAATCAACAATCAACTACTGATGCCTCCTCTAACTCATCAACAATACAATGTGTGATCATCAATGTGCTGAAAGTCTAGATGATGAGCTCAAGGAAACTGTCATGTGTGGTACCTGTTCAGATTGCTCCATACACATGGCAGGTATAACAAGCTGTGAGCAATCAACCAACCCTTGCACAATCTGAGGGAGAGTTTCAGGTTTCTCCTCCTGGCGCCATACAACAACAAAGCAAGGATTCTCTCAAAGGATGCAACACTTGAGGAGGAGTTTTCAATTTTATCCTCCCCAGTGCCAAATGATAACAAAGCATACCGAGTGCTTCACTTGAGGGGGAGCACAGAGTGAAAATAAACAAAGGAATGAGAGAGAAATGAGAGAGAAGTCCTGATGGCTTAGTAAACCCAACTAAGGCTACCCAACGGACAAAGCCGAGAGTAAGCGAGTGAATGAATGAGTGAGTGAACTCTATGAGCGTTAGGAAGCAGTAGGCTCAATCGAGCAAGAGAACAATAATCAATGATGAGTCTGTTACCTCAACTGTCTACTATCAATTGAACATTTACTCCCAGTCACTCAAATACTCTGGACAATCCCCATCGGTTCAGGACTGAATTTATTCAGATCCCAGGTAAAAGTCACTGCATCTTGTCCAACAGTGCATGCATAACCCTACCCAAGACCACTCATTTGTCTCCCAACCGACAAATGTTTAATCATATTTCACGGGGAACCTCATCTCTCATTACTGTCTCCTTCCGAGGCAAGTGAAACTGACTACAGTGGCCTCAGCCCCATGTCACTGGACTTTCATTGATCACGCTGTATCTAGTTATCTCACTCCCAAATGTTTTGAATTTTCTAGGACACATACACACTTTTAAGTCAGTTGCAGGTCCAAGTGACCATGCGAGAACTTCCATAGGGCTCATCTAATATAGATAGACCTATGATTGGAAGGAAGTCATGTTGTTGCAACACAAAAATCACCAACATGTTCAGACCATCGCTTTAGAGTTTATCTCTATAATGGTGATAACGGGTGTCTACGCGACCTCGGGGGGCTACGATTTCCATTTCTGATCTTTATGATCACGCCTTAATGACGTGCACTTGTCGTGAGGTGCACTCAAAATAAATAATACAATACAACACTTATACGTAGTATAGCGTGGTAAGGTTCGTATCCGCAGGGAAAGGAATACTTCTCTTTTTATAACTAGTAATAAGGGGGGTTTTAGATTTGTTGTTGAAGAACTTTTTAGAATATTAAAACAAAAAGATGAACGAGTTATGTGGTTTAATTAATGAGAAGAAGACTTGGTTTTGCTTTTATCCACTTAATGAAATGTTTATCGATCCCGGTTATATCTTTAACTATCTTCCTCTCGAATACTCAATCGAGGAGTATATCCAGTTCATCGAGGGTAGTTATTAATAACGAGAAGCGTTCATTAATAAATCTTACTACCGAGTCAATATAGAACAAGCGCCGTATATTAACTTGATAGTAGCAATAAAATCAAGATGAAAACGATTGAGATTGATAACCTCAACACAAGCGGTTTATTGGTTTAATCAATATA